TTTGCTTCATTTACCTTAGCGACTGCTGGGACTTCTCAGCCAATCTTGAACACTCCTTCTGAGCAGAAAATTAACTTCCTACTCCACTGCAAACAGTAATGGCGGGGGTGTTGGTCTTCCAGTTGCATTCCCACCATTACTGAGCTGACCTGTAATATCTTACACAACCTTCCTTTCACTCCCCTCCCACCTAGTGTCGGCAGTATCCCGAGTCCCCTTTCCAGGAAAAGGCAACCTGCGTACTACTTTTTGACTTCCACCATCTTGGAGACCTCTCAGTCCGCTTAATTCTTCCTTCTGCCCTGTCCATTGACTCCTTCCCCTTAGTTTGTACCCATGATCAAGTGTGAACTCCCTGTTAGGGAAGAAAACCAATCCAAGAAGAATTGAAATATCCTTGTCCTTATTTATCCCTGTCTCCATGCCCTGAGTTTTTTCCCTTTCTTCGTGTGGTATTACTGTGCAAGATTTATTGAAAGAGAATCACTGTTGCTTCCCCCTCTCAGTCACTTCCCAAATGAATCTGTATCTGATTCTCCTAGTCCATCGACATAGCTGTGAGTGAAGAAACTAACGATTTGGAACTTTCAGTCCAGAGACCATTTTCACTTACCCCACTGAACATGCATTTTATCCATATGAAGGCTCTTCTTTGGTGTCTACATGGTACTCTTTTTTTGCCTCCTAATTCTGTTGCTTTTTTTCACTTCCTTGCTTGTTATCATTTAGCATTGTGTTACCATTTGCTGCCTAAGTATTGGTATTCCCCAAGATTTTATTCTCTGCTACCTTGTATATTTGCTTTATAGGGCTTGTCTGGTCAGTGTTGTTTTTTTTTTATGATTTCAATTACCAGGTACATATTTTGGGGATTCCCAAGACTTTGTAACTCTGACCTTTCTTCTTAAATCCAAAATCACTTATCTGGAGATCTACTGGACAGCTCTACTTCATTGTACAATAGGTACTTTAATGCTCAGACTATTAAATATTAAATGGATATTCCCCCTAAATCTCCAAGCCTCTCTTTAAGTAATCTACAATCTGAGTAGTTCCTCAGACTATTTTGGTTAACATTTTTAATTTTTGCCTTTTGGTATGCTTCGCCTTTTACATTTGAATTGTGTTGATTTTACGTCTTTGATTTTTACTGTTTTTCTAGCTCTTCCTTCCACTTGTTATTTACCTGGCCAGCCGAAGTAGGCTCTCCCTGGGCCTTTCTCCTCTCCATTCCTGCCCTTGGCTCACCTTTCACACTGCTTGGAATGTTTTTCAGTGAGCAATTCTAAGTGTTTTGCTGTTGCTTATGTTATCAAGTCTAAACATCTTATCATGACATTCAGGGAAACATTGATAATTTTCCTTAGCTAGCCTTCCAACTTCATTTTCTAGATCTCACCTGAAAAAACTGCCTGCTTTCATTTTCACTATCTTCATTCCTTTTCTCATGTTGCTTATTCTACCTAGAAAGCACGCTCTTTCCCGTAACACTCTTACTCATCTTTAAGACGCAGTTTTAGTGTAACCCCTTTAAGAAGATCCTTCTTAGATATGCTCATCTCATTTTTTGTGGAACCTTTCCACCTAAGCATGTAACTGACAGGAGATTTTCCATTAAATATGTAGCTCTGTGATTCCATAATTGGGTCTGTAGAATTGAGAAGCAGTGAAATACCAAAGAGTGAATCCTCTCCCATATGACTTTTAAATTTCCTTTCTTGAAATTTATACTTTATACTCTTTACCTGCATAAATAAAGTATTACGGCCTACTCTGTGGACCCTTGGGATGATCCTTATGCTACCAAAGGAAGACACTGTCCTACCTTCTGAGATTAATGAAGAAGTTAGTTCCGTAAAACAGTAATTATAATATTTTGTCGTAAGTGCAGTGACAGCTCTTGAGCAGGGGCAGTGAAGACAGTAAAAATGGGACAGAAACAGTTGGGGGGTGGTTGGGAAGGGGGACAGGCATGAACATCTCTGGGGCTTTGGCAGGAAGAGTAAACATTAAGACTGCAGCTGTCAGTTCGTTGAGTACTCCTGTGCATGTGAAATCTTAACAAAATGCCAGAGATAGATGCCCTCGCTGTTCACATTTTGTGGGATGAGGCTACTGAGATACAGAGGTCAGATAACTAGCGTAAAGTTCAGTAACAATGAAGTGCTTGAACTGAATCTTGAACCAGGAGCCTTCTCCAGAGAGTATGCTCTTAAATACCACATATCCTGTATCCCCGGGGATGGTTAAAGACCTGTGTAGGCTGAGGAACAGCTTGTGCTAAGGCTTGGAGAGGGGAGGAGATTTGAATATTCATTGCACTGAAAGGTTATTATGGTTGGGCTGGCTTAGCTGGGCCCTGAGAAGGTACAGGAGGTGAGGCTGGGGAGGATCTTGAAGGACCTTGTTTGTATTCCATGCTAATGCACTTAGAATTTAGCCTGAGAAGTGGGGGGGTGTTGTTAAAATATATTAGTCAAAGGAGTGTGCATTTGCATGTAGAACAGTTATTTTGGGAACTGTGGAAAAGATACTGGAGGTAGGCTGGAGAAATATTGAAGATGGAAGTAAGAAGCCAATTACCAGTAGGAGGGTGTGGCATAGCGCTAGTTCAAGAGAGAAAGGATGAGTGAGCATCTCATTCCCTCATTCAACACATACTGGGTATAGGAACTATAAACTATGAAAGAGGTTGAGCCTACTGAGAATTTTCCATGACTGCAGAAAGGGAAGAATCCCGCATGATTCCTAGACCTAATTCTGGTGACTGACGTAGCACAAAATACCAAGGAGCTAAGGATTTGAAGGAGTGTAACCAGCTCCAGTTTTCGGTGTAGGTGAACCTAAAAGAATGCAGGGATGCTCCCCTTTGCTGATAGGCCTTGGATAACAAGAAAGAGATTGCTTTATTTGCGTTTCACTTCCTGTAGGCCTTGTCTCTTTTGTTTAGGGACACATTCTTTGTCCCTTGTATTTAGGCCTTAAAAGTCATTCTACTTAATTATTTGGGCCGTTTGTCAGCTTACTTAAGCCCTGACTTTCAGTTTGCTTAAGGTCAGCTATTCAGGACCTGTGCACTCTCTGCCTAACTTCTATCTCCTGGCCTCAGTGGAGGTGGGGATGAGTAGGTTTTTGGATGTCGCTGTGCAGTTGCCATAGTACTATACAGCAGACAGTTGATTGTCCAAGATCTGCAGTTTGGAAGAAAGGTGGGGCCTGGTGCACTAAAAGAAAAAGTGCACAGGTAGTCAAAACCCTGGGAAAGCCGGTGTAATGGCACACGCCTGTAATCCTAGCACTCAGGAGACTGAGGCAGGAGGATTGCTACCTGTTCAAGGCCAGCCTCGGCCACATAGTGAGTCCAAGGCCAATGTGAACTGCGCAGTGAGGCCTTGTCTCAAAAAACAAAACGAAACAACAACTATGGGAAAGAAGTCTACTTGGTCAGAGGGTGTAACTGTGAAGCCTTTAGGGAAACACGTTCAATAGGAGCTAAGGATAGAATTCAAGAAAGCAAGAGGGTGGGAGGTAGGGATGGAAAAGAAGGAGGAAATTCCTCATCAAGAGCAACCATAGAAGCTAAGGAGTAAGAGCAAGACCGGATGAGGAGCTCCCTACTGCTTCAAGAGCTGTAGAGACGTGAAGACAGAAAGGGAGCCGTGCACGTTGTTTTTTTTTTTTTTTTTTTTACAAGTCATCAGTGATTCAGACAAGAGCTGGAGTGGTGAAGCAATAGAGGAAGGGGTGAAGGCAGGTACAAAGACTTAAGGAGTGGAGTGCGTTGCGGGGGAAGAGATGCACATGGACTGTTACTTTAGCATGCCAGGAAAGAAAGACTATTGTGGAATTTTTTGAAGTTGATCAATACTCAAGAATTTTTAAGACTTTTTAGAAATGCCTCTCAAATGGACTAAGGGGATGTGGAGAATGATCATCAGTTTTCAAAAGTGCTTGAGAGAGATGGGCTGGCAGTAGAAGTGGAAACGAGCTTTCAGGTGAAAGGACCCGTTTCTGAAAAATAAGGCAGTGGGAGGGACAGCGATGTGGGTAGGGTAGTCAGGCTGCAGGGAAGTTCGTAGGTGGGAAGTGTTGGAAACTTGTGGCTTCTTCTCCAAGGACTCGATTTAAATTAAGTAAGGAGAGAGGACTATTTGGAGGATGTGGAATAAGTGGCAAAAGGAGAGCGGTTTAAGAGTTGTTAAAAAGGAGAGAAAATTTAAACAGAACTTGTGAAAAGATACAAAATTAAGCCTGGGTAGGGACTGTGACAATCTTCTGTTGTTCTCTAGCAGCTACATAAATTTTCTTAGGAATCTGGAAGACCAATTACTGTTCTTCCCATGCACATTTTCATATACTTCCAACCTTGTACTATGTGAACTACTTGTCATTCCCCATATGAAAATTCTAGACTCCTCCTAAAGATATTTCTTACATCTTTGACATCATTGCATCCCCTTGTCATATCACAGTGTTTCGTATCAAGTAATTTCTAACATGTGTTAGTTGCAGGTTTAAAATTTCTGAGCTGGACTTGTTTGAGCCAGCTTCAGGCATCAGGCCTCCTTTGCAGTTGCATGGGTGTGGTCAGGACTTCAGTCTGAGGTGGTTTCATAGGTGGTCTATTTTCATCGAAGTCATAAGGTCCAATAGTGTTGGCATATGATATAATTTTTTCCTGTTTTATTTGCTGATTTATCTACCTCTGGCAGCACTCTTGTTTAAATTTTCTACTGTCTGATTTAGATTGCCATGTCTTATTTACTCAGGGGTCTGTTATTCATGTTATTTATGATCCTTTGCTTCTTATATTTTCCATCTTTTCTTCACTTTGCTGTTTCATTGAAAGGCAAGAGACAAAAGAGAAAAAACCCAGATCAGATAATTTTACCCTTACTAGTTTTTTATACATGCTTACAGAGGATGGAGTTATAGTTAACATTTTGAATGTTATTTTTGAACTATATTTATTAATTATCAGTTCAAAGGCTATTGAAATCATGGATTATCCAGGTCAGTTTTACTTTAAATTTTACTAACAGAATTTATTCTAATTAAATTGCTTACGCTATCAATTGTTTTTATTAAAAGAAATAATGCAGTAAAATTAGTGCTTTCTGTATTCTTTAGAAAATCTACTTTCTGAATGTAAGTTATAAGATTATGAAGTTTTCTAATCACTTCTTAACTGGGGCTTTCTCAAATTTTATAAGATAACCTAATTTCTCACTCACATCTTTTAACTAAAGAAAAATTATTAAAACACTCTTATAAATATAATTTTTAAATGACTCATGCAAATATAAAACGGACACATGTCAAAATTTTTATTTCACTCATTAATTAAAGAGCAAACCAGCATGAAGGCAAAATCCAATTAAGGCAAAATTGGAAGAGCAGACACATTTATAGACAAGCAAGAATGTCAAAATGAATTTGCTAGTAGATGCAAAATCAGTCAATGTACTCAAGTCGGTAAACTATGATTTTTTTAAATCCTATCTTCCTCTAGATGGAAGTAGCAGAAACAAAACTTACTTGGATCGCTTTGGACGTCAATCATTTACATTATCATCAGTTGCTCACAGTTTACAAAGTTGTAAAATAACCTAATGGTAGGCACAGATAATCCAAAGGATATGTTAATGCTTCGCCTTCTGCCAAAGGATAACAAAATCCATAAGAATCATGCTGTTTTCTGACATTTGCCTTCCTTTGCACCTCTGTCAGCACTCCTTTGTTCTCTCCTTGTTCACTATGGTTTCTTCCCCTTAGTGCTTCTCTCTCGGGAAATAATTTACAACTCCTAGGTTTTGAACAGTGCAACCGGAAGTCCGAGTTCTGCCTGGGGCTTCCTAATATTTGGGTAGAAATGTAGAGAACTGGAAAGAGGTGAACTATGGGTACTCACAAGGTTCATTCAGATGGCGGATTCCCAGAAGTATGACTATCGGAAGCAGGTAGAGGAGGCCCAAGTTTTTACATTAAAATGCTATGTTTTCTAGTTTTTATAACAGGGCCCTATATTTTTGTGATTTGTGGCTGTTTGGGAGGCAGTTACCTATATATTTTCTTCTTTTGATGCTCAGCACAGTGCTGTGAAGTTACCCAGTGGTCATTTTTGATCTTCTTATTTAGAGTGTAAACTAAAGCAAAGCAAAGTGAGTTCTTAAGGTTGCATACCGAAAAGTACTCAGATTTGTGAACACCATCTGGATTGTAGTCCACACTGTGTTCTTGTATTCAATTCAATAGGTAGTTATTGACTAATTATGTTACTAGAATAACACCATTTCATGTGCTTGATTTTTTTTAATTCCATCTAATACGGAAGAAACCTTAAGGATGAACTAGTAACAAACTTGATATTTTAATTATGTTTGTTAGTGCTCTTCTTTTTGAGGGAAAAGTCAGCTACCATCTACTTAGGTAAAAGAGTTGATAAATGGGTGAAGATTATGGATGATGACTTCCATTCTTCTACATTTGTGTACATTTCAGTTGAATGATGAATGGTTGCACACATTTAATTAACACTCCTGTGCATTGCAGCTATTCGTTCTTTATACCATTGAGAAGAGTTGAGAGAATATACCCTATTGGTGAGCTGTGTGTGCTCTTGCTTTTAACTTGTTTCTTGGCTTTTTGAGTGGTTTGTGGTTTCTTAAGAAGAAATACCTGTAATATACATTTGGAAATTGTTGTTCGTAGACTGAAAGAAATGTGGGGGTGGGAAAATGCCATTCAGTTGTATATTCTTTATAAGAGTTGCATGCAAAATATCTATTGCTGTCTATATTTTACAGTGGAAAAATAGCCACAGAATGTTTTTCTTATTGATATCCTAAGACTTTTCATCCTAGTGGAAAGATAAGATTTGAGTCCTCCGATTTACTTTGTATATTAAAGGGCAGTAGAGCCAGCCACATTTTTGGAAATGCTGCACAAGGGCAAAGATAAATTTTGTATCAGTCTAGCACATTCTATTTAGAAGTATATAGAAGTTGAGACTAAATATAATATTTGATTTGAGTCTCTGTTCAAAAGTTTGCCATGGTAAGGACAATATTTTTCTACATATAAACTAGACTGTAAATATTTCTTCAAAACTGTCCATACGTGCATACTATACCCACATGTTCCAATACAAATGCTAAATTTATTCCCAAGTTGTATGGTCATGACGGTAATGTATACTGTGTTATTCTAAGTGAGTAAAGCAAAGTTAAACTATTGTCTACCAGCTGTGCACGTTAATAGAAAAAATAATTTTTTTTCTGTTTTTCATGTATCTAGTCTTCTCCATTGCTCATGGCCTATAAATGAACACTTCAAGCATTGTTCTGTGTCTTAAGGATTTATAACATACCTAAGATGTATAACATGCAATTTTATAACTAAATAAATATTTTTCTTTTCCAGGTTCAGCTCAACTCCTGTTAAATAAGACCAAATTTGTAGAATACACCATTTGTAATAAAACTGTTGTCATCCCATGCTTTGTTATTAATGTTGGGGCACAAAGCACAAAAGAAATGTATGTAAAGTGGAAATTTAATGGAACATATATTTTCAACTATGATGGAAATCAAAATAATTCTACTGCAAATGTGAACTTCTCAAGTGCAAAAATTGCAGTCTCAAAATTACTAAAAGGAGACGCCTCTTTGAAGATGAGTAAGGATGACATTAAAGTAGGAAACTACACATGTGAAGTAACGGAATTAAGCAGAGAAGGAGAAACAGTTGTGGAAGTGAAGTACCGGATGGGTAAGTGCTGTAGTTTGAATGTCGTCTCTGTCCCCTTTGAAACTCACATTGGAACTTGCTTGCCATTTTGGGGATGTTAGGAAATGGAGGCTTTAATGAGTGATTAGGTCAGTAAGAGGGATTATGTCATTTCTTGAAGGAGTGGAAAGGAGGTTGTTATAAAGCCAGTCTGCTCCTCATGCATTTGCTGTCTCACACATACTCACCTTCCATTCCGTCCTTTCACCATGTTATGACACAATGCAAGATCCTCACCAGAAGATGAGCAGATGCTGATGCTATGCTCTTAAGCTGTACAGCCATAGACACATAAAGCAAAGTAAAACTCTTTTCTTTATAGAACTCCTAGCCTCAGAGATCCTGTTACAGCTACCGAAAACAGACTAAGGGAGTAAAACTTCTATAAAATATTTCTCTTTATTTTTCTTGCTCTACCTCACCACATTAGATCGTGGGCACAATAGGACTAGGAATGCTTTTGAGCCAAAAAAGCAGGCTATAATAATAAATGTTGATGCAATGTTGAGCAGCTTTAGGATCATGACTTCTGTCTTATTCACTGTTCTCCTAATTGCAGTAAAACTCATTTACTGTTCGCTCATTTAAATATTGTGTGGTTCTCAAACTTTTGGTCTGAGGACTGCAGTATGCTGTTTGGGTGATTGATGCTGGGGTCAGTTATTCTACATTTCTGTCTGTTGCCATCAAAAGTACTTTTCTTAATGTAATTACTTTCTGAGCCTTTTTCTAATTACTTAGCCTATTCGTGTTTGTTTAGTTTTGGTTTGCAATCTACTTTGGCTAATGTTTGGCGAAAATCAGCCATGCTTCCTCTGCAAAGAAAAGAAAAGAATTGGAAGAATAAAGATCAGGTTATCGTGGATGATTCCTGGAGGTTTTCTGTACTTTTTTCTTACTTTGGTGTGCTTTTCCTTGGCCAGAATATGGGGGAAACTCAGGATCCCACTGAGCTGAATTGAATTCAGGCTTGTTTATAGTGTCATGATCTACCTTCTCTTTACAGACTTGGGGTAGTGAGTTGTTCTCAAGTAAATAGTCTCCTTTTCTGTTTCTTGCTGTGCTGCGGGATTTCATTAACCACGCTGAAGGTCATTTGAACTTTCTGTTTTTTACCACCAGGCATATTACTGATCTTGGCATTGGCTGCACTTTGAGAACCTCTGTTCTAGATGGGATGAAAATTCAGTTGAATCAAGTAGTTCCCTTCTGTTCTTCTAGCTTTTACTGTTATAAACTGTATGTTACCAAATTGGGAGTGGGTGTTCAGTTTGATGAACTATGTTGACATTGCTTAGGGTTTGGCATTGGGAGATCTAAATTACATATGCTTCTTAGCAACTTACTATTCATTTATTTGATTTTGAGAAGTTGCTTCACTGAGTCCAAGTTGCCTTGTCCCTAAAGTAGGGATGAAATACATACTTGCTGTCAGACATTATAGAATCTAAGATCATCAGACGAGAGTCCATATATAGGTCTCTGAAAACTAATGCATGTTGTGAATGTTACTTCTTTTTCTGGGATGTTTATGGTCTGAGATAACCAGACCAGTTGCGAAAACCTGCCTAGATTGTTGTGAGAGAGATTTGTGTGCAAGAAGGAATGGGTAGGTGGCCCAAAAAATCTCACTTACTTTATAATTTTTACTACTGCTGTTAACTGGGGCTAAGAGCTTTCTCTTTAAGTGTGCACATTTCAAGAGGGTTTTGCTTAGTCATGCGCACTGTGAGTGGCTGGAGGGAGATAATCTAAAGCCTCGTTGAGATTTTTCCAAGGGAATGTGTAGTCTTGTGGGAAAGAGAAAACCAGTCATGAGGAACAGTAATTTTGGATGTCATGTAGGTCTCTGAGAGGAAAACTGATAAATGTAAGAGACTTAAAAAGAACAGAAGATGGGATAAAGATAAAAGTAAGTGCCAGTTTCTGAGATGAAGACATAGTTTATAATTTTGTGTGCAATTGCCTTATATTCCTTTGTTTCCAAAATACTCTATAGAAATATGAGGTAGTCTTACTTTTGGGGCCATTAAAATAAGAAAACATTATTTTATTATAGTGAATGTAGAAAATTGCACCAGGAGCTTGATACCTTTGGGTTTACACCCATATTTTATTTTTGAAATAATTATGGATTCACAGGAAGATATACAGATGGATTTTTGTGCCCTTTATCCACTGACCAACAGTGTTTCCATGTCAGTTGACTATAGCAGAGTTTCAAGATTGAGGAGTTCACAGTGGTCCAGTGTGTTAGAATGATTCTCTGTCATTTCACCACGTGTATATTTGTATAACTAGCACTGCATCCAGGATACAAACCTATTCCAAGAGCACAAACATCTCTCCCACACTAACCCTTCATAGTCATCAACCCCACTGTCTTCCAACCGTCTTTGGCTGGGGGAAAATAACAGTAAAATATTTCTGTGAATAAAAAGATTAAGTGGGACAGCATTGTTATTGTGGACTACATATTTATTGTAATAATGACATTTGCCCGTTATATAGTCTTTGGGGACTTAGTCAATAGACACCAAGCAGATACTGTATTTTTTTTTTTTTTTTTAAAATATGGAATAAATGAGACATAGACAATGCTCAACAGAGAATTGAATTTCACTTAATAAAATGTAAGTGATAGTGGCCATTTATTGTACCCTTCTTTGGTGCACCAGGACTGAAGACATGCAAACACTCTAACACATGGCCTAATACACCCATTGTGTGAGTTTGTAGTACAGTACTATGGAGAGAGTGCAGTACTTAAACTTAGGTGTTTTTCTATCCATCATTTTCTAGGTTATGAAAACATGGATAAGAAAATCTAGCTGGTTCTTAGCTTTTTGTGGGTAAAATGAGGATACCATCCCGGTCACAAGAATGTTGGACTCATGAATAAGACAGTATTTCTCTTAACAAAGATGTACTGAGTACCTCATAAGTGTCAAGCCACTGTGCTGGGCACTGGATTCAGTGATAACTAAAATGTTATCCCTGAGTCCAAGGAAGTGATTGCCTTATCAATAAGAAGAGAAAAATGACCTCAGATTTATACCACATGCTTAATGTATATCATGTCCTGTGTTCTAAGAGCTCTAGGACATGGGTACAGCTCTTATCATGTAATGCTTGGGGAAGCAAAAGAAATTCAAGATGCTTGTCTAAGGTCACAATCACAGTGAGAGTTTCACTTAGACCTTTCTGGGTAGAAAAGTATTACAGTATATGGTCCCAGTTACATCTTGTAAATGATCAAATACTAACTGCAAATAATAGTATTGATAAAATTAGTATTTCTGTGCTTAGAAGCTTAATGTTTATACTGAGAGTGCAAGCTACTAGGATTTTATTTAAAAATATCAGTTCAAGGGCTGAGAGTATAGCGCATAGGAGGAGGAGTGGGATGGACAGTTGTCAGACATGGCAGCAGGGGAATGAGTGTTAATGCCCTTGGATTATCTTTTAATCCTGAGTAGAAAGATGCCTGATGCTCTCTTTAGTCCAATTTATGGTTATTTTCTTTTTGTAGCACCATAGAAATTCAGAGCTCAAAGGGATCTTAGAGAAGTATCCTGTGTTAGGCTTCCCTAGAGGAAAGAGTTAAGCTCACCTGACAGTACTAACCATAACAAGTCAATGGACATACAAGCAGTTTTATGTAAAACATTGTTCTTTTCCCCCTCATTTCAGTTGGCTTTCAAATGTCTACTTCAGTGATTCTTGGGTTTTCCCACCGTAACAGATTAGAGAGAAAGATAACACACTCATGTCAGTGTAGAAGCTAACCCTCAGCAAAGATCTGCAGCAGTGATTTTTAAACAGAGAGAATTATGGGTAAGCCTTCTATCCCCCTTACTTAGCAAAGGGAACATGGAAAAATCTTGCTGTGATAACGACAGGGGAGACACTGTGAAGCTTGAGTAGATCCCAGGTGATTGTTAAGCTCCAGCTAAGTCACTAAGACAGTAATAATTTTTGCTGTATAACCTCAGTCTCTCTTTGAGATGTTCTCTTGTATTTTTCATTATTTCTCCATAGAATCTTGTAGTCATTGAGTACTCACTTAGTCTGTCTTGTTATCTGAAATCAAATTAGTTCTGTTGGACCCCAGTTGGTTGGCCATTCTGACTTTTAACATAAAAGATGGCAGGAGAAGACCCTGTTGCTTCCCAAAGATCTGTCTATAATCAGGCAGCTCCAGTTCTTTCTGTTGAGCCAGGACTTGCTGTCTTATAATTTTTCAATCTCACAGAGGGCTGTAGTATTTCTCTTGAGTCTATTCTTATTTATTTATTTATTTAGTTAGTTAGTTACTTAGTTAGTTTTGGTCTTTTTCCAGAACCAGGAATCAAACTCATGACCTTGCACTTGCCAGGCAGGTGCTGTGCCACTGAGCTAAATCCCCAGCCCTCTTTGAGTCTGTTCTCTAGTATAAAGATCCCCAATTTTTTAAGCCATTGCTGATGTCAGGTTCCGCGTTCTGATCATCTTCCTTTGGAGCACTTCCCAGTGGCATCATAAATACAACGATGAGTAAAACTGGACTGAACACAGTATTTGTTGGTCACCTGCTCCTCCTCCTGAGGATGACTGCTGCCATAGCTTTTCTTTTTTTATAGCTCTTTTTTTTTTTTTTTGATTGGTTTTGTTAAGACAGGGTCTTGCTCTGCAGTTCAGGCTGGCCTCGAACTCATGGCAGCTCTGCCTCCCGAGGGCTGGTATGATAGGTGTGTGCCACCACACCCAGCGTGCCATAGATCTCTAACAGGGCCTGCTTCTCCGTGATCCATTTTTCACATGACTGAGGAGGTTTTAAATGGGTCAGGCCGTTTTCCTTCTTCTATTTGAGCCTTCCATTTACTTGTAATTGCTCTTAAAATAGAGTCGAAACTCTGCTAACAAGTAGCTAAGAACCAACATGATCTTATCTCCAAAAGCCCTTTGGATCTGATCTTCTGTCACTGAATTCTAGCTACAGG